TTGCATCCATCTTTACACAAAGGGAAAAAACAGTCCAACTTAACAAAAACAGTATTGTAAAAAAGAGATTAGAAACACAAGTTAAAATAGGCAAGAAAATGGTAAGTGAGCATCTGTCTACCCTAGATGAGTTCAAATCACCAGGACCAGATGGATTACACCCCAAGATAGAAACTGACAGATGTGATCTCAGAACCACTGAACTATATCTTTCAAAGATCCTGGAGCACTGGGCAACTACCAGAGGACTGGAAAAGAGCTGATGTAGTTCTCAACTTCAAAAAAGGGGGGGAAATGGAATCCAGGAAACTACAGATCTATCAGCCTGACCTCAATACCTGGGAAGTTTTGGGAAAAATAATCAAGCAACAAATCAGCAAATGTTTAGAGGCAAACAAAGTGGATGATCACTTGACTATAAGCCAGCAGTGTGCAGCAGCAGCCAAAAAAGTAATACAATCCTGGGCTGTATAAACAGAGGCATAGAATCAAGATCACGTGAAGTATTAGTGCCACTTTATAAAACCCTAGTAAGACCACACCTGGAATATTGCAGCCAATTTTGGTCACCATATCACAAAAAAGATGTTTAGAGTTTGGAAAAAAATCAGAGAAGAGCAACTAGATGATCAAAGGCCTGGGGACTAAAACATACGAAGAACGGCTGCAGGACTTGGGTTTGGCTAGTCTAAAGAAAAGAAGAAATAGGGGAGACATGATAGCAGTATTCCAGTATTTGACGGGCTGCCACAAAGAAGAGGGGGTCACATTATTCACCAAAGCACCAGAGGGCAGGACAAGAAACAATGGTTGGAAACTGATCAAAGAGAGAAGCAACCTGGAATTAAGGATACACTTCCTGACAGTGAGGACAATTAACCAGTGGAACAGCTTGCCTTCAGAAATCGTGGGTGCTCCATCACTGGAGATTTTTAAGAAGATCTTTTCTTATTAAATCTTATTACATTCTTTGACCAGGTGACAAAATTAGTGGACCAGAGGAATGCTGTGGATATAATTTATTTGGACTTCAGTAAGACATTTGATAAAGTAGACCACAACCTTCTACTTGATAAGGTAGAAAAATGTGGGTTAGACAGCATCACCACCAGATGGATTCATAGCTGGCTGACTGGCCGTACTCAGCATGTGGTCCTCAATGGAACTGCATCTACATGGAGGGAATTGTATAGGGGGTACCCCAGAGCTCTGTTCTGAGCCCAGTGCTCCTCAACATCTTCATCAATGATTTGGATGAGGGGATAGATGGGGAACTCATCAAATTTGCAGACAACACCAAGCTGGCAGGAATAGCCAACACTCCAGAAGATAGGCTTAAGATACAGAAGGATCTTGACAGACTTGAACATTGGGCGCTATCTAGCAAAATGAAATTCAATGGTGAAAAAAGTAAGGTTTTACCTTTAGGCAAGACAACCCAAATATACAGGTATAGTATAGGTGATACCTTGCTCAATAGTAGTAACTGTGAGAGGGATCTTGGAGTCCTAGTGTACAATCATTTAAATATGAGCCAGCAGTGTGCTGCAGCTGCCACAAAAGCCAACACAATGCTAGGCTGCATTAACAGGGATAGAATCAAGATCATGTGAAGTGTTAATACCACTTTACAATGCCTTGGTAAGGCCACACTTGGAATACTGCATCCAGTGTTGGTCACCACAATGTAAAAAAGATGTTGAGACTCTAGAAAGAGTACAGAAAAGAGCAACAAAGATGATTAGGGGACTGGAGGCTAAAAGATATAAGGAACGGTTGCTGGAACTGGGTATGTCTAGTTTAATGAAGAGAAGGACGAGAGGGGACATGATAGTGTTCCAATATCTAAGGGGCTGAGACAAAGAGGAGGGGATCAACCTATTCTCCAAAGCGCCTGAAGGCAGGACAAGAAGCAACGGATGGAAACTAACCAAGGAGAGAAGCAACCTAGAACTAAGGAGAATTTTCCTGACAGTTAGAATTAATTAATCAGTGAAACAACCTGCCTCCAGAAGCGGTGAATGCTCCAACACTGGAAGTTTTTAAGAAGAGACTGGGCAGCCATTTGTCTGAAATGGTATAGGGCAGAGGAGTCAAACTGCCGGCCCACAGGCCGGTTGCATCATACGGAGGCCGCGCCCACCCCAGCTCCGGCAATGCAAAAAAAGTTGCAATACATCACGACACGTCATGCAACGTAGCAAGTTTGACACCCATGGTATTGGGGGTTGGACTAGAAGATCTCCAAGGTCCTTTCCAACTCTTTTATTATTACTATTATTACTATTTTACTATTATTATTACTATTATTATTATTATTATTATTATTATTATTATTATTATTATTATTATTAATATTATTAGATTCCTTAGTGGGGGGGAGGTCTGTATATTAAAGCGTCCTGCGGAGGAGATATTGGAAAAGCACTATCTATCCAGGAACATACAATCTGGAGCCTTGAGGAGATTTGGCCATATTCTTGTGCACTCCATTTGTTTGTGGCCGGGATTGATGGGTACTATGATCCAAAAATGCACCAAATTCCCTGTTGTAAAAGAACCCAAGTAGGTGCTTATGAATTATTACTGACAGGAGGAGTGAAAAAAATTGCAGAACAATGTATATCACTCTTAGGAAAAGAAACTGTTCATTTGCTACTGCAATGGGATATTTATCTTGGACAAGGCAATTCACACATTCATGGGATTGGGATTCTCAATAAATTGATAGGCAATGGCTCAAAATCACAAGGAAGTTTTGTGTCTAAATGGACATACAGAAGCCGTGCCAATGGGTAGATCATTCTAATGATCCTGTTGCTGTGTCTCTGATGCTAGGCCAAGAGCCCAGTGCCCACTGAATGTGTTGTGTTGCCATTTATGAATTTTGTGAATGAGGCTTATATGGATGGATTTTTATAGCAAGGAAAGGTGGGTATTCTCATGGAACAGGAGAGGAGGGAGATATGTGAAGGCTGAACTGGGAGTACAAAAAAACTGGAGGGCTATTTGCAAAAAAAACAACCAAAAAACCATTTATTTGATCAGCAGCATCATGATGTTTATTTTGGGAATAAATATAATTCAGAGCCTTGTGGCTATCAAATCAAAATGATCATTCTTAAAATGAGGTTCTCTCCTTTCTTAAAATTTCCTCTTTTAGCATAATGTTGCCGTTATGAGATGATGGGATGAATATTCTACTTATTTATTCAGAAGACCCGCTGATTATAAACAGTTAAAATTTTATTTATCAGCAACACTGTATGAATAAATAGCATGGGATGTATGTTTTTTTCTTTTCAGGCTCACACTCATGAACTTATCTGGACTTATTTACAGAGCAAGGGCTACCAATGTCCGCCTTTTATTGCATGTGTACAGGTTATCTGCTCTTACTTTCTCTTTTTTATTCTGTGTCCCATTATCTGATTTTTTTATTAGCCTCTCTTTCTAAGTCCCCTGCTGCCTGCCTTATAAAGAGGTGGCCGGTTAACCTTTACTTGTTTTAGCAGAATGCAAATAATCTACTCTTTCATCATAGGCTTCTGTTATTTTTCATTCTGAAATTATGACATACACACACACACACCCGTCCTGGGGACTAAGATGCTATGAATTTTAGGGCATGGCTTAGCACTATGACTTGGGGAAAAATATGAAATATAAACTTAGCTTCTATTTCAGTTCTGTTTTCTTGGCAATTGATATTCTTTTCTCCCTAGTGTCTGAACAGCACTTCTATTATACCTATTATCTCTGTTAATAAGCCACCCATTGGTTTTGACAAGAACTACCATGGCTTCACCTACTGGGATGATCAAAGTATTGTGTGTATCTTGATTTTACAGGGGGAAAAAATCCTAAAATATTTCTGATAGATCCCAGAGTTCAGAAATCTGAACTACCAGACTGACAGTGACCAAGGAAAAAGGGAATTGATTTAAAGTGATTAATATTAATATCTTGATAGTATCTGATGAGCATCAAAAGATGGGATTTTTTAAAAAAATATTTATTAAATTTCTATAGTCTCTCAACTTACATGTAGGTGACTCTGAGTGCCTTATAAAATTCAGAATGGTTTCTCCAGTTTGTTTCAGAAAGCAGCTGAACTTCTTGAGAGCCCAAGATACAAAAGCAGCCAACATCACTCCTTGAGGGATATCTGATGTTGGATTTCATGTTGGTTCCCCTCTGATTAGTATCCCTTTCAAACTTGCCATTGAATTCTGGAGGTTGCTATGATCTTTGATTTCAAGCACCATTTCTCTCCCCTTCTCCATTCCCAGTCTCAGAAAAATCAGATAGTTGCTGCATTGTATATTATAAAATTACAAAAGCCACTGGTTCACATCAAAATCCTTTCTAGTTCTATGTTTGCTTCTCAGTAACTAGCTAGCTGCCCTGGAGAAGTGCACAATAAATGTGCCCTCTGACTTTGTAAAGACGGTAGTATTCTTTGTTTCTTGTGTGGCTATATAATTTCATTCCTCTCTGGATTGTTTTATATCCATCTCTCTTTTATGCTGGAGTGAATAGTGAATTGTCCCCTGATGTGATGAAAGTAGCCAAGAAAGAAAACTTTATCAGACAGGACTGGAGCTCTCTCTCTCTCTCTCTCTCTCTCTCTCTCTCTCTCTCTCTCTCTCTCTCTCTCTCTCTCCCTCCCTCCCTCCCTCCCTCCCTCCCTCCCTCTTACACAAACACACACTCATTAAGCAAAGGAAGGGGAAGGAAAATAAAAATAAAAATTTCTTGATTATAGCCTCCAGCATATTGGCTGAAGCTGATGGGAATTAGACTCCAGCAATATTTGGAGTACCACAGTTTTTTTCTTTCCTGATGAAAGAAAAATGTAAACAGTGTGAAGAATGGATTGGATTGGAATAGCCACAGATGAAAGGAAATCTTCCCACTCCTTGTAACCGTACTGATATCTGCAATATTGTTGGCATCCTCAGAATACTGGACCCCTTTGATCTGTCCTTTCTCCGCAGGTCTACACCCGCTATGGAAAATGCTACACATTCAATGGTGACCGAAATAAAGCACGGATGACTCGCCAGAGTGGGATGGGGAATGGGCTGGAGATCATGTTGGACATCCAACAGGAGGAATACTTGCCCATCTGGAGAGAAACCAGTAAGAGCTTGCATGATATTAAGAAGAGATATGATTCTGGAGGCCTTACATTATTAGTATTAGTAGGGCTATCCCTGTCCTGACTTTCTGTTTTACTCCTTTTATCCATGACAGATATTAAGCAGTACAGTGGCCCACAGGTGAACATACTCACCTCTCACTCAGAAGGTTGAGAGTTCAATCCTAGGCAGTGGCAGATATTTCTCTATCAGAGAAAACATCTGCGAACTCTGCCTAGGCCAGGGGTAGGCAACCTTGGCTCTTTTATGACTCGTGGACTTCAACTCCCAGAATTCCTGAGCCAGCCATGCTGAGGGGAAAGGGAGAGGTTTCCAAGCTGAGCCATGCTGGCTCAGGAATTCTGGGAGTTGAAGTCCACGAGTCATAAAAGAGCCAAGGTTGCCTACCCCTGGCCTAGGCGTAAGGAAGGGCATCCAGCCAGTAAACACTCAGCTCCGTTCAGTTGCCCCATTCTACCCTGAATAAAGGAATTAAAGAGTTGTAAAAAGAAAAAATATTATATATGTATAATATTACATCCAATCCTCAAAGCCCAGAAATATTGATTAAATGACTATCTGTCTTAGGATGAAACTAACTAAGAGTCAAAAATGTGTTACTTGTAATAGTAAAAAATTCTGTACCAGATTTCTGTTCTCCTCCAGTTGTGTTGGGAGTTGAAGAGCCAAGTTCCCAGTGTTGGGAAAGCTGCTGCATACCCTATTCAGTACCTGGATATCAAACAAATATCCAAATAGTTTGGTTATCATTACATATTTTGTGTTTTAAACAAAGCAGGGAAAGCATGCAGATGACAGCTTTTAGAATTCTTTCTAATGCCTTAGTAATAAATGCAGTCACATGACTGGGAGGGTGGAGGGAGGCTCAGAAAGAAGAGCTGGCAACCCCTTTCCAACACTGGGTTGGTTTGGAAATAATACAAAAATTAATTATGGTGGATATGCCACCACATCAAACTCATGAAAAATCAATGTACCAATTCTAGAGAACTAACGAATCCCCTTGACAAGGCAGGAAACAAACACAGTCATAAGACGGAAAAAAAATAGAGAAATGTGCCTACAATGAGTAGCATGAATACATTATCATGGTTGTCAGATGAATGGACACATTATCCTGATGTCTTCCACTGATGTCTAGGCCTCCCAAAAGAAATCCTAACCACGGCACCACCACTTCTCGTTCCAGATGAGACATCATTTGAAGCTGGAATCCGGGTACAGATCCACAGCCAGGATGAGCCACCCTACATTCATCAGTTGGGATTTGGAGTCTCCCCTGGTTTCCAGACCTTCGTTTCCTGCCAAGAGCAGCGGGTGAGAGCCAGAAAGTAGAAGTTCCTCTAGCTAGCTTGACAAAGAGTGAATCGGCATTATTTGGGAGAAATGTATAATGGTGCGAGTAAGAAGGAGGGGTCACGATAGCACCTAAAAGTTGATAAGAGTGAACAGAGGCCCAGAAAACATGCTTTTCCTGCTTCGGTGCTTGGACACCATTCTCAACTTCATTTCCCCCGAGATTATATTGGCCCTGACTCTGCTGGCTTTTTGCGAAGCCTCAAATACTTGGATGTGTTCCCTGGCATTGGGTCAAATTGTTATTTGAAGTTCTTGTTAATGTACTGTATATAATGCAATTTTTTGAATTGCCAAAATGAGATTGGAAGCCAACTAATTCAAAGGATGGATGGATGGATGGATGGATGGATGGATGGAAGGAAGGAAGAATGGAGGGAGGGAAGGAAGGAAAGAAGGAAGGAAGGAAGGAAAGAAAGAAAGAAAGAAAGAAAGAAAGAAAGAAAGAAAGAAAGAAAGAAAGAAAGAAAGAAATAGTTTTCCACAACTAGGTCCTTTCCTCAATATGTTTGTTTCAATTTCAAACTGTCTGGGAGATTTGGAAATTGTAGTGCTGCACATCTGGAAGATATAAAGCTGGAGAAATCTGTAATGTAGCATCACGTTTCTCAAATGATGTTCATCCCTTGAGTCAGCTATGAACTGTAAAAAAATCATACCTGGTTGGACTATAACTTTCTTTTGAAAACATTCTCAAAGGATTTGTTGGTTCATTTATTCAGTTTTCTCAGTCAATGACTCTGGGTGGCTTACAGTTTAACAAATATTACAATTAAAAATACTAAAAACATTTTAAAATAATAAAAACACTAAAAACATCCAAAATAACTATGCATAGCCGCCGAGATACTTGATCAGTTAATAATACAGCTAGGAAACATTCAGCACGCAGGCATGGGAACGTAGCCAGGTTTTTAGGGCCTTACAAAAGGCTAACAGAATGTCATCGTAACAGAAATCCAAGGACTTCATAGGACTCTGATTAGTAAGATTAGCTGGAGGAAGGCTCTATATACTACTACTACTACTACTACTACTATTACTACTACTACTACTACTACTACTACTACTACAATAATAATAATAATAATAATAATAATAATAATAATAATAATAATAATAAACTTGGAAGGGACCTTGGAGCCTTGAAAACCCATCTATTCCATGCGGCCAGCCTGGCGTAGTTTTGATTGGGCTTTGCTAGGGGTTTTATATGGGGTATTTTAGAGCAGGCTTTTTATTCAATATTTATTGTGATTTTTATTATTGCCTGTTCACCGCCCTGAGTCCCGTAAGGGAGATAAGGTGGTATATAAATTTAAATAATAAATAAATAAATAAATCTAGTCCAACCCCCTGCTCAGGCAGGAAACCCTATACCATTTCAGACAAATGGCTGTCCAGTCTCTTCTTAAAAACTTCCAGTGTTGGAGCATTCACTGCTTCTGGAGGCAGGTTGTTCCACTGGGTTAATTGTTCTAACTGTCAGGAAGTTTCTCCTAAGACTCTTATTGTGAGCAGCCATTTACTAGAGGGAGGGAGGGAGGAAATGACAGAATGACAGGGAGGGAGGGAAGAAGGGAGGAAGATTTCTGATGCTCTCTCTCAGCTTCACACAAGGAAACTCAATGTGGAAACTGGCAGGAGTTAGAAGTCACTCCTGCTTCCACTGCTCTTTTGCCCAGCTGTGGTCATTCGGTCTCTGTTTAGGGAAGGAAATATCTCTGAAATGATGATCCAATAATGCACGGGTTGTGTAGTAGTTGCTAGTAAAAAGCTCCCAGGCAGTTCCAGTCCACACCCAGAAGTAGGTGCCAGATGTAGACTACTACCGGTACAGTGAATTCTCCTGAGGAGATCATCCTGTGAGTCAAGCCTGGATATTTTAATCAAGCTCTTGCTTGAAAAGGAGTTAAATAAAGTAATAACTCCATTAGCTGACAGCCAAAAAAGACAGCAGCAGAACATATTTTCAGGTTATTCAGTAAATGTTGCAGTTTTCCATCTCTAATGCAATTTGAAAGAAGACACCAAAATACCTGCCAATTTTTAAAGGTGGCCATTTTTGTTTTCCTTGTCTAGCCTCTTCTACAATGGGCCAATATTCGTGCCCTATTTAAATTGGTTTAATGGATATTCCATTTTTCCAGGGAACTGTGGCACTTGTAATTCTATGGGATAACAACTTCTAAAAAAAATGCCCAAGAAGAAACCATGAGAATTAAAATGAAAAAAAAAAGAAATGTAATTTTGTAGTGTAAATATGTTCTACGAAAGAAAAAAGGGGCAATATTATTTAAGATTCTGGAGCTGATCACAAAATAACTCTGTCATTATTTGAGTCCAAGGAAAAACTTGAGAAGATAAATACAGTTCCTATAATTAGAGAAAGCTGTGCAGTCTTAAAATCATATGACTCAAAAGTCATTCCAAGAAGTATCCTTGTACAGTGCTAAGCATTATAATCTTAATTGCACCGAATAGGGACAATTTAATATCTCTGCTCCTACTCCACCTCATTGCCACACATTTTCAGATTAAATGTCATTAATGCCACCTGGCTTTCTTTGAATTTCAGCATAAGCCAGGGGTCAGTTTAAAAATATTCAAACGTGTCAATGAATTGGTGCATACGGATGAATGGTTCATCTTTCCTTAAGAAAATGTTAAAGAAAATATTGGCATTAAGAAAATATTCAGAGCCAAAGAGAAGTCAAAATTTGTGCACTGAAGTTTCATTTCCTCACATTCTGTCAAACTCTGTTGGAATCAGCTTGATTGGTCACTTCTCATCACATCATTTCCTCATTAGATTCTGATCTTGAAGTTAGTTACATTCCGGTTCCCCAACATTTTAGTCCTCGTCCACAGGAGCTCTTTGAGGGAATTTGGACCAGTCACCATCTCTAAATCCAACCTTGCTGTTGGGAGAATAAAACTGGAGACAAAGTACTCTGCCTTAACCGCCTGGAGGAAAGGTGGATTTAAATCTAATGTCTAATTAATATTAGAAGATGCTGCCTATGTCTCTTACACTCAGTGTTACTCAGAGCCTAATCCTGCAGGATGTGGAGGCTGTAATAGTAAGGGATGGGTTTTAAAGTAGAGATTTCCTAAGTGCAGATTCTTAACTGCTACTGTGTGTAATAATTTAGAAAAGCAAATACACCAACCTGAGATGTTAAAGAATCCCATAAAATCAGAGGCAACTGTAAAACCTTCTAGCCTTAATAAAATTCATGGTTAGTACTTCAGGTTTAGAGTGGAGAAAAATGGGGAAACATTATTTACAACAGAGGTTGCTGGCTACTGTAGAAGGAGAAGTCTGGCCTCGAAAAAGGATTTCAACAAGAAAATATATTCCTAGAGTTGTGGCCCAACGGACAGCATTTTTGGTACAACTATCCAGTTCTGGAATTCCTTTCCTGATCATTCATGAATGTGCCACTCCTTCCAGTACTAGCCTCAGTGCCAGTAGTGGGATTCAGCCGGTTCGCACCACTTCGGCAGAACCGGTAGCTAATTTTTTGTTGCCTAGGCCCAGAATGGACTTTCGGAAGTGGCATCCACACAGAACCAGTTGTTCACGTATTTGAATCCCACCACTGCTCAATGCTATGGTGCTATGATGTTTTCTGGTCTAGCATTGTCTACCTTTTCAAGTTTTTTTTAATCGTTTGGTAGACTTTTCCTTTTATTTTTTAAATTTCTTAAGCACATTGCTCGTTGTGTATTTTTAATCAGCTGCATCCTGTTTGGGGATTGTTTTTAGTGATGGAAAAGTGGGGTAGAATGTTGGATTGCATACATGCGTGTATAAGGAGAGGCTTTTTGCGTAACAGCGTCACTGGATGAGCACTGCTTTTTCTTGGTGTTTAGCTTGCTCCCCTTCTCCTGCAGCTGACATACCTGCCCCAGCCTTGGGGAAGCTGCCAGGCCAGCCTGAAGGAGGAACAGACCCTGCCTGGCTACGAGAGATACAGCATTGCTGCTTGTAGGCTGCAGTGTGAGAAAGAAGCAGTGATGCAAAACTGCCAGTGTCGCATGGTGCATATGCCAGGTAAGGGAAGCCTTCTCGACCTGCCTCACAGGCGGCTCCAGACCTCTTGGTTGCCTGGAGAATCTGCTCCAGAAACTGATTTGCCATGAGCCTGTGGGGCCAGCCTTGGCTTTGCTCACATCTGCTCCTCGCATCTGTTCCAGTGATTTGAATGTCACAATCTGACACAAAGCTTGGTGAAACTTTTCCCTCCATTTGTTTCCAGCTTCAGAAGTCTTTCATCTGATAAATATTTGATTGTCATACCGACATTAAAGGTACACGAATCCACACAAATATGGAGCATTTGTAAACCAGTCTTGTTCCACTAGGTACTCTCTGATTATGTTGAATCACACACCCCATTATCCCAAGAGACATCCTTTTGAGAGGGACAAGACTGGAGGAGACTGCTTTGAATTCTCCCTCTCCTCATACTATATTCCATATCCTGTATGGCAGGGAAAAAATAATACTTGATCCAGCCCCCCCTTCCCCTTTCCAAGGCTGTAGCCATTATGGACCAACTAACTTCAACTTAGAGTTTTGCCCTGAGTCCAACCTAATGGGACAGATGTGTGTGGGGGAGGGGTTTCCATAATGATTACGGTCTAGAATTTGGGCATGCTAAGTGGGGAACTGAACTATCTCACACCCTGGGATATGTAGACCTGCCAACAATTCTACTTATGCCATTTTTCAAAAGCTCTAATGCCACCATCACTTCCTCATTATTTATAGGATCTGTCATTGTCAGCATAGGCTGCAGTGCAGTGGTGGGATTCAAATATGTGAACAACCGGTTCTCTGTGTGGATGCCGCTTCCGGAAGTCCATTCTGTGCCTGGGCAACAAAAAATTAGCGACCGGTTCTGCCGAAGTGGTGCAAACCGGCTGAATCCCACCACTGCTGCAGTGCAATCCACCCCACTGGAATACCTTGGATGGATTCCGGAAACATGTATTCTCTCTCCCTGACCCATATTTCTAAGTACAAGAGGGGGCAGTGCTACTGACATATGCACAAATCTCACTGGTCTTTGGACTCCATATATTCAACTATCACCCAGGTTACTGCCCTAAATAATAATTTAGCCCAGAGAATTGTTTAACTATGACATGAGGCTGACTTTTCCCCACTTGGTGTCCTGCATATGTGTTGAACTACAACACCTATCATCCACTCCTAGCAAGTCAATTGTTATGCTGACTACTTGGTGGTGATGATAAGCTTAACATGTACAGAAGAGAAAACTATCTAACACTGGCTTCTAGCCAACGGATACATTTGTACCAAGGAAGCAGAATAAACATCCACACAGCAAAATTATTAGGCACCCCTCTCTCTGTCCCAACCCTAGGAATAGCAGGAGCTCAGATCTGGGTAAAGCAAACATCTCTAGTTAACTACTCTAGTTAACTACTCTAGTTAACTACCCAGGTTCTTCTCTTTCAGGAAATGAGACCATCTGTTCACCCAATGTCTACATTGAATGTGCTGATCACACACTAGGTAGGTACTTTTGAAGGTATCTGACAAACCATGAAGGGACCAATAAAGAGGATCTGGGCAACCAGTCACAATTAAGTAGAGTTTTAGTTGCATTGGGGGGAGAGCAGCTGATTGGTTCTTAAGGCAGGTTCCAGCCCACAGAAACTCTTGATTGGCCAACTAAAGCCCTGCTCCTTCTCTGGAGGCATGTACATAGCAAGAGAAAGGAAGAACGGGTAAAGAAGGAGATAGGTGATTTGGTGTGTATGGGAGAAAAAGCAGAATCATATACAGTAGTAGATAAAATATAAGGACTAGACATTGTCCAAACCCCAGCCCACTGCAGGAATCCACTACTGCAGCATTCCCAATAGATGGCTATCCATCTCTAAACAACTCCAACAAAGAAGAGTGCAACTCCTTCCAAGAAAGTCTGTGCCATTTTTGAACAGTTCCACTATTAGGATTTTTTCTCCTGATATCCACCTGAACTTTGTCCTTGTGATGTTTCTTGTCCTATCCTATGGAAATCATGCCTTACATTCTTCAGCCTGAGATGCAGAACCCGCTACACAGGAACGTTGTATTTCTTCCTGTTAGATTTCATCCTATCCATTTCATCTCTAATACTCAAGCCTATTTAAGATCTTCTTTTATCTTCTCTTTCATCTAAAGCAGGGGTGTCAAACTGCCAGCCCGCAGGCCGGAAGCATCATAGCAAAACCGCGTCCACACCCCATTGCCGGCAATGGCAAAAAAGTTGTGATACGTTGCAACACGTGACGTTGCAAGTTTGATATCCCTGATCTAAAGTATCGGACACCCCTTTGAGCTTTGTGTCATCTACGAACTCCCTGATTCCCTCAACTCTTTCCTCCAACTCATTGATAAAAAATGTAGTTATCGCAGGTCTAGGACAGTTTTACAGCATGCCACCCATCTCTTTCTCCCATCTTTAATGGCAGTCATTGATGTATATAGGCCACTCTACCAAAAATGGAGATCAGATTAATTTGGGGTGACTTGTTCTTGATAAACCCATGCTGGCTCCTGCCGTGTGCTGCATTGTTTTCTAAATGCTGACAAACAGACTACTTGATAATCTGTTCTAGAGTTTTGCCTGGTATCATTGTCAAGCTGATTAGTCTGTAGTTACTGAGGTTCTCTTTTCCCCGCTTTTGTGAAGACAGAACAAAATTTATCCTACTTCAGTCCTCTAAATTGCCCATCCTCCATGATTTCTCAAAGATCACAGAAAGAGGTTCCAAACTAACATTTGCATGCTCCTTTAAGCTTCTTGGATATACTTGATCTGATCCTGGGGAATAAAACCCATCCATAGTAGCCAGACAGTTCCTAACCATCTTGTGGCTTTTCTCAGTTCTTCTGCTGGTCCCCTGTAGGGAGAGAGGAGACTGAAGCAAAGAAAGAACTAAGGAGCTCTGCACCTGTAACCATCCTACCGTCCTCTCCTAGCAGCACGAGCCCATCCCTTCCTTTTTCTTCCTCTTACGGTTGACATAGCTAAAAAGCCCTTTTTTTGCGGTTTTCCTTGCAAGCTTGAATTTTTTTTTACCCTTGAGCATTTTTTTAAATTTCCACAAGTATTAGCTACTTGATAGCATGCCTTCCTTGGTAATTTCACCCAGTTTTTATTTCCTATACAAATTCCTTTCCATAGCTTAGTCAAAAGGCCCCTGTATATCCATTGTGGTTTCCTAAACTATTCTCTCCCTACTTTTTCTTCTCAGCTTAGTGGTGTGTGATTATGTGTCTAGCATTTTATTTTTTTAAAAGTTCCCAACTTCTCTATGTTCCTTTGACCTGAGGACTTTCGTCCATGGGACCTCATTTAGTACACCTCTGTACTCTCTGAAGTTAGCTGTCTTAAAGTCAACTATACATGTGTGATTTTATGTGTGATATTACTTGCTTTTAGGGTAAGGGTGATTCTTGAAGCCCAGAATTGTGGTCACTTCCATCCATGGTCTCACTATTTTTAGTTCTTCAATCAGCTGTTTGCTATTGATTTGGAAGAGCTGGGTTTTTTGTTTTTTTTTGTACTTCAACATCCTAAAAAAATGAGGCAGTCAGCAGAACTACTGAGGAACGTGGGAGATTTTGAATCGTTAGTTAAGCTTATTTTCCATCAGACCTGAAAAATAACAGATCTCCTGTTGTTATTATTATTACAGGTCTCCTTCCTAAAAGTTCTGTCATTTGGTCCAGGAGGGCTTTGTTCAGATTTTTTTTTCTGATAGTTGGCAATCTCAACAATAGATTCTTCTCCTTTGTATTCTTAGCCAGATGTTCTTGCTGAACCCTTAGGCTGAAATTCTTGGATTGCTACAGATGTATGTACTTCCTCACCTATATTGCCTCCTCCCCTTTTGTCAGGTGTATTAATTTTGTATAAGTCATAGCCTTCTAGCTTTGTAATCCACTTGTTAGCTTCATCCTGCCAGATTTTGGTAATTCCTAAGACACAATTTCCTTAGGGAGAGAAGAAGGAGGTGATTACACTGAACGATGGCGAGTATGTTGCTCTACGAATGAAAAAATGTGGATATGCACGGTGTCCGTGAACTTTGGGCTATATGTTTCTTTCTTTTGTTTACCTCATGCGCTTTTGGTATACATAGCATCTTTAATGGGCAGTGCCCTCACCCATTTATACTTCACTCTAAGAAACAGGAATTGTTCGTATGATGACCTCACAAAATTTTCATGGTAGCCGAAACCTTAACTTTCAAGCTTGGCTTTATTGAGCTTGATAGAGGGGAAGAAAATTGCTTCCAGCCTGATGAAAGTGTGCATGTGTGATATATGTTGAGCTGAAATTACAAGTACTGGGAATTCCACAAACTATCCTAAGACGGCCATGTGGGAATGTTGATCAGTAGCAATTCTGAAAGAGATCTAGGTCAGGGGTGGGCAACCTTGGCTCTTTTATGACTCGTGGACTTCAACTCCCAGAATTCCTGAGCCAGCATGGAAAAATAGAGCTCATAAGTATTTTCAAAATCATTTTATAAGAAATGCTTGCTAATAGTATGGGAAAAAATTAAAGCTAAAATATACCTAAAAATTCCAGGGTGGTTATCACCAATGGAGGCATTTGTACATCCGAACTTGGTAGACTTTGAAAAAATATAGGCATATAGAGATATTCTAAATATTGATGGGAATTTAAAATCTAAGCAAGAACTGGAAAATCAGGGGATCAATCTGTCATGGTGGGAACATTTACAGATACAAAATAGATACGAAAAAGATGTGAAATGTATGGATTCTATAAAGATCAAACTGTGTTCGACAAGGTTTTGTTAACCTCAGATGAGAAATTAATTAAGAAAATGTATAATTTTTTGTTAATTTTGGAAATGGAAAGCGAACAAGTTAAAGAAACAATGATAAGATGGGCAAAAAACTTTGGCTATAATATAGAATTAGAAAAGTGACAAATGCTATGGGAGAGAAACTATAAACTAACAATGTCAACCTCATATAAAGAAAACTTGTATAAAATGTTTTATGGATGGCACTTGCCGCCAGCAAGATTAGCAAAAATATTTAAAAATATGTCAGATAGATGCTGGAAATGTAAACATAATATAGGCACATATTACCACATTTGGTGGACTTGTGGCAAAGCTAAGGCTTATTGGAGAAAGATACATACGTGGTTAGAAAAAATATTAGGTGAACATGTTGATTTTAAACCTGAACTTTTTTTACTAGGTATAATGCCTGAAAAGATTAATAAGCAGAGTTTATTCTTAATTTTGCACATCACTACAGCAGCGAGAATAATCTTCGCACAACACTGGAAGAATGAAGAATTGCCATCAGAAGAAGAAATAATTAGGAAAATATTGGAATGTGCAGAGATGGACAAATTAACTATGAGATTGAAAGATAAAGAAGACACGGACTACTACCAAATTTGGGGTCTATTTTATCGTTGGTTAGAGGAAAGAATGAAGGATTAGGAATTGAATATGTATTAGTATAGCTCAGTGGTGACGAACCTATGGCACGGGTTCCAGAGGCGGCACTCAGAGCTCTCTCTGTGGGCACGCGCACCGTCGCCCCAGTCCTAGGCCTTCAGCTGGGTTTTATAAAACCTTTTTGCTTTAGGCCTCCATTGCCATGTGCAAAAAAAAAAAAAAAGGTTCAATCAATCAGTCAATTTCAACTTCTCGCGGAAAAAAAAAAGATCTTGCAAAGTTGGAATTGATTGATTGAACTTTTTAGTCCCACCCAGTTTGCTGTTACCACCGCAGCCACACCCACCCAATGGGCCACGCCCACCCAATGGGCCACACCCACCCGGCACTCGACGATGCATAAGTGGGTTTTGGGTTGCAGTTTGGGCACTCGGTCTCTAAAAGGTTCGCCATCACTGGTATAGCTAATCCCAGACAAACTCGTTGATTGAAAAATTAACATATGTATACAAAAGAAAATCAATAAAATCTTTACAAAAAAAAAAGGAATTCTGGGAGTTGAAGTCCATGAGTCATAAAAGAGCCAAGGTTGCCTACCCCTAATCTAGGGCAAGAGCAGGCAATTTTTTTTGCCCTTCCCCTCCCCTTTGCAATGAGTGGGAGGTGCTATGCTTGTGGTGGGTATGAACAAAGTGGGTGGTGGTTATTTATTTGTTAACTGCATATACTACAGTAGTGCAGTATTGTGACCCTTGGCAGTTTACAAAATTAAAACATCCATACATCTGCAGTTATGACCAGAGCTACCATCTCTCCCAGCTCAACTTAAATAAGTACACACAATCTTCTGCTTCCCATGTCTGTCTCATGAGACCCCTATGCATAATGAAATCAAATACTTGTTTGGCAGAATGGCCAGATAGCTAGAGTACAAGATAACTAGAGTACGAAGCTCATGGGAATAGTTCTTGAATGCTCTGCCCTCTTAACAAACTGGCTACCCCAGATCTGCTAAGCAACCATTGAGGGTTATTTGACTACTAGGGTATCTTTGTAGGCTGCAGTCAGAATTCCTGAAAAATGGGGAAGTCTGCCAATTATCTAGTCCATGTGTCATAGCCTTAGAGATAGCAATTTCCTTTTCTACGTTCTTATTTTATTTTAAAGCAGATCCATTCTGTCCATGCATGCCTTTCCACTCCTAGATACAGCCATTGAAGATACCCAGGAACGCTGTATCTGCCCCACACCATGTAATGTGACCCGCTATGGCAAGGAGATTTCCATGGTACGCATTCCCAACAAAGGCTCGGCCCGGTACCTTGCTCGCAAATACAACCGCAATGAGACCTATATCCGGTGAGTAACGCATTGCTGAGGAGCACCTGAAGAATTTAGATAGTAGCTCAAGTCAATGGACAAACTTCCTAGATTGTAGTGGTGGCACAAAACTACAGTAGATAAGGCCTGGAGGGCCTATATGGAGGGATATATGGAAAAGCTCTGCTTGTAAATCTTCTCTCTCCTGCTTCCATCATTCCCACCGTCCTAAGGGAGAACTTCTTGGTGCTGGATATCTTCTTTGAGGCACTGAATTATGAGGCAATTGAACAGAAGAAGGCATACAATCTGGCAGGGCTTCTGGGTGAGTGAGCCTACACAGCTTCTTCTCTACCATTCCCCCAGGGTGAGAGCTTCAATCTTGGAAGCAAAGCAAGTGCTGAGGAGGCAAGGATTGTGTGAGCAGATGAAAAAGATGGGCAGGCAAGCTTGGCTTTGGCTCAAAATGGCTTAGGCTGAGGACTACTACCAGAACCATCGCAGGTCTTACAGCAACTTGTGGCACTTTAATGATCTTTTCTGTTCTTGAGCTAAGAACTGCAGGAAGGCCGTCTAGCCTCCATAACTGGTGACACGTCTTCCGAGAATTTCTTCCTTTAGAAAGTCTCCACGGTGACAGAGAAAAAGGCACCTAGATCAGGCTTCCAGAATTCTCCACAAGGCACCACCTAAATAATAATAATAATGTTGGAAGGGACCTTGGAGGTCATCAAGTCCAACCCCCTGCTCAGGCAGGAACCCGGAGAGAATACTGGGGTGCTCCCAAAGAGAAGGAGATGATGATCCTAGGGAAAGCAGAGCCATGCTTGCCATCCAGCCTTCAGACTCCATCACCCAGTCCTTCCCAGCTATCAGTATTTTTGACTCCTGGCTGGTTACTTTCAAGATGCCAATCCTTGTCCTCTTCTTTGTCACTAGGGGACATTGGAGGCCAGATGGGCCTCTTCATTGGGGCCAGTGTCTTAACTATCTTGGAAATCTTGGACTACATCTGTGAGGTAAGAACCTATTCAGAAACAGAGTAGGCTGGGCTGGAAGGAGAGAGTGGTTGCCCTGGAAAAGGGGAGGGGAAGCCAAACTTATCCTGCCCTGTATTAAATCCAATTCTGTCACTAAATGATGAGTCGCCGCCTGTTTGAGAGTTATGCTGTCCTCAGCTGTGAAATAAATACCTCTCTCTAGAGGAAGGAGCTAGAGAACCTGCAGTATAGCTGGGTTTCTGATTCTGGTCAGCCCCAACTGGCAGGACCAGTAGGTGGGGTGATCAAAGCTGAAGTTCAACTGTATTGATAATCATGATTTGCACTCTGTGGGTTTTGGGCGGCAAATGAGTGGGGACATGTGAACAAGGTCAGGATTTTGTTTTTCTGGACTTGGGAAAGTTTTTGTATATTTCTTGTGGCAAAGCAACAGGAAACAATGACTTTGATTGTCAGCAGTAATGTTCAAAGGATTTCTGAACCACAGGCTCAGGACTACATAATTTCCAGAGGACCGAATCATTTGTTTGGATTTGACCTTCTGTGTTATGTAAAAACCCAGACAATGGTAGTTTGTTAAAATATAGCTAGACAAATCATAGTGTAATATAGTGGATGAACACACTGTTTATGCATTGAAACGTATGTACATGATGTTATTTATTTATGACTTAATATGTCTATCCATTGCTTCTGAGACTGAAGCAACACAAAGAAGTTTATAATTAAAGCTGTGAACCTTAAAATATATTCAATAAAAAGTAGAGGAGGGGCATTTTTTCCACTATTCAAACAAAAGAGGATTGCTGGCAATATTTCCTATTATCCGTGTTCTCAGATTGCCAGCTAAGCTGTGAAGAACGCAATCAGAAGCCCCAAGCCTTTGATGAAGGACCCCAAAGGCTTTCAAAATTGACCCATAAATTGTACCATTACAATGGTACTACTAAATTGTACTACTAGGTGATGGGTAATAATTTTACCAACTGGCAGTTCTGATTGCAGTGGCCTAGACAACTGTGCAATCAATCAATCAATTAATAAATCAATCATGGAGTCTTACATTTTTTAAAAAGAGATCTCTTTTATTTCTGGTCGTCTGGCATACGCCCTATCAGAATGCAGCCTGAAGCCTTCCAGAGTTCTGTACCTCTGCTTTGCAACTTTGGGCCTTTGTCTGAAATTCCACTGGTCCACATGGTGAGCTTGATGGGTAATGGAAAACTAGAAAAAAAATGTTTATTTTATTTTATTTTATTTATCTGCCCTTCTCATATCCAACTACTCTGGAAAGCTTACAACAGGGGTCTTCAAACCCGGCCCTTTTATGACTCATGGACTTCAACTCCCAGAATTCCTCAGCCAGGTACGCTGGCTGAGGAATTCTGGGAGTTGAAGTCCATGAGTCATAAAAGGGCCGAGTTTGAAGACCCCTGACTTACAACGTAAAAAAAAAATTAAAAAACATTTAAACCATCAAGGGTTACAGTTATTTCCTGGGATACAGCCATCTCAGAATATAAAAGCCCCGCTGTTGTCATTCTCCTGTCTTTTGCTGTGCTCCAGGTGATCTGCGACAAGATGGCCCATGGCCTACGGCGTCCCAAACCTGCCCTGAAGAAGCCTTTGGGCAGTATTGCTACTCTGGGACTGGAGGAAATCAAGGAGCAGGTACAACACAGGGTTCTTCCTCTCCCAAACTCACTCCTGCAGTTGCCAGAGAATTGAAGTAGGGATGGGGGCTTAACTGGAAGCAAGAAAAATGCCATTCACATGAGCCTGAAGCTTTGAACCTAGTCAATTATAAGAGTAAAAGAAGAGGGGAGAGGAGGAGTGAGAGAGAGACACTACCCATTCTGTATTTGATAGAGTGATATGCCAATTTCATGAGACTTTTGAAGGATTTTGTAGACCAGATGCAGCAAGCTGTGTGATTGTAGGTATGATGAATTTATTTACCTACATTTATTTTTATTTACTTTTTTATCTACATTTTAAAAAGAAATATTCCACAATGTTGCAGTTTCTGTATGTCTAAGAAGTGTGCATCTCATATCTCGGCATCTGTTTGCAAATTATCCATCAGCTCCCCCCCCCCCCCAGCCTGGAGATCTCTAGACATGTTAATTCTATAACTGCCAGAATTCCCAGATCTGTTGGGGGGCTGGAACCATGGTTCCTTGCAGGATTTTCCCCTAAAACCATGGACAGAGCTGCAACTTATAGTGTAATAGTAAACTGTATCCCTCCCATGTTCTAGAATCCAAATATGAAGTTGCCTTAGACCAGGGGTCTTCAAACTTGGCCCTTTTATGACTTGTGAACTTCAACTCCCAGAATTCCTCAGCCAGGCATGCTGGCTGAGGAATTCTGGGAGCTGAAGACCACAAGTCATAAAAGGGCCAAGTTTGAAGACCCCTTCCTTAGACTGAATCAGACTCTTGTCCATTTCACTTAATGTTGTCTATTTATTTACTTATTTGTATCCTGCCCTTATTGTTTTTACAAATAACTCAAGGCAGTGAACATGTCCAACACACTTCCTCTGCCTATTTTTCCTACAACAACAAACCTGTGAGATGAGTTGGGCTAAGGGAGAATGACTAGCCCAAAGCCACCTAGCTGGCTTTCATGGCTAAGGCGGGACATGAACTCATGACCTCTCATTTTCTAGCCTGTTGCCTTAACCACTGACTAGACCAGACTGGCTCTATACCAGAGGTCTTCAAACTTGGCCCTTTTATGACTTGTGGACTTCAACTCCCAGAATTCCTCAGCCAGCGTGCCTGGCTGAGGAATTCTGGGAGTTGAAGTCCACAAGTCATAAAAGGGCCAAGTTTGAAGACCCCTGCTCTGTACTGACTGGCAGCAGCTCTCCAAGGTTTTAGATTTGACAGTCTTACCTGGAAAGGTCTGGGCATAAACCTGGGATCTTTGGCCTACAAAGTCATGGTTCACCCGTGAGAGCCTCTCCATTCTTTTTGGAAAGATTTGTGATTATTTCTATTGAGAAGCAGTGGAGTCTATGGAAAATGTCTTTTTGCATTGGGGACAAGTAAAAAGAAATATATTTGGACAGAGTCTGAAACTCAGTTGACCTTTGCATGATTAATCAGCCACAGTTTTTATTAGCTAACCTAATATAAAAACAACAACAAAAAGTCTCAATTGTATCAGAGTCCATTTCTAATGTTCTGCTGATGTAGCAGATTGTACAGACGCTCCACCAAGATTTATAGAGCTTAAGTGTTTGGTTGTACTACGTCTACCCCCTTCCTTTTCAAAAGGAAACCTTAGGATCCAGGATCCTGATTGTAGTTTTCTACCTGTGCCTGAAATCCTTAAGAATTAAAATCCAAGAAATAGTTCAAATTCTAAAACCAGTGCTTGATATTGGTCATGGACAGAATGGCTTACAATGAATTGAGGTGCTCCTAATCAACCAGCAGGGAGATCTAGAAATTAAGAACAACTTTGAGTGCCATTTTGGAGAGCGAGGGATAAAAACAGAATCAATCAATTAATTAATTAATTCTATTACACAAGTTTTCCTCTCTAAGTCAAACACAAGAGACAAAGTGCTCTAGGATTATGGCCCTGTAGAGTTGGAAGGAGCCATTTAGGTGAACCTTCCACTCAATGCAAGAATCCAGATTGAAGGAACCCCCCCCCCCCAATAGATGTTGTCTCAATTCCCTTTGAACACAGCAAATGAAGGGAAGCCCACCACTTCTCAGGATAATTGCTTCCATTGTAAACGGTTTATACCATTTTTAATAGCACTTTTGAAGACAAGTCACTGAGCTATAAATAGCCATCATCGTCATCATGCCACATTGCTTCAACACCACAGCTTACTTTAAAAGAAAAGGAGAAGACCCTCCAGAAAGTCAGAGAATAGAAAAATTGAAATTTTGCTTATCTCAGTCATACGTAAATACATATGCGGTCTAAATTACTCAGCTACTACAATTTCACCCCTTCTCCTAGTTCAGTGATGGCGAACCTTTTAGAGACCGAGTGCCCAAACTGCAACCCAAAACCCACTTATGTATCGCCGGGTGCCAGGTGGGCGTGGCCCACTGGGTGGGCATGGCTGGTGGGCATGGCAGATTGGGTGGAAGTGGCCAAGGTGGGCGTGATCACCTCAATGTTGTTCATGGGGAGGGACGCCTGTGGGGGCCGGGCAGGGCTGGGGGAGATCCAGGGGGTCTCTGCCAGGTGGGGCGATGGGCAGGAGGCTTGCCCTGTGGGGTGAGGCGAGGCAGGGCGGGGGTGCCATTGTCACAGGACAAGGTGTGGCAGGGGCGGCTGCTGCCTTGACACCATCGACCTCTGCACACAGAGGCCAGCAAGCGCATGGGTGCTGGGATGCATCTGGCCATGTGGGACCTCGGCGAGTTAGTGGGCAGCTGGTTGAAGAGGGACGGTTGCCATCTCCAGGGCATGGCCTGTGTGCCCACAGAGAGGGCTTTGAGTGCCACCTCTGGCACGGGTGCCATAGGTTCGCCACCACTGTCCTAGTTCCATTTTTAAAAGCCCAATAGATCAGACCTAATCAACACCAGTTAAAGTACCCATCACTGCAGTCACAATACAATGGGACTACTATGTAAGGCTGGTATAACCCACCGTCTCCCAAATACCGCAGTGCTGATTGCCTTATAGGTTCAATGATAATAGAACAATGTTTTAAAGCAGTGGTTCTCAACCTTTTTAATGCCGCGACCCCAACCGGTCATAGGTCGAGGACTAAACCGGTCGTAAGTCAAGGACTAAACCGGCCGTAAGTCAAGGACTAAACCGGTCGTAAGTCGAGGACTACCCAACCGGTCGTAAGTCAAGGACTTTCCCTGCCTGGGAGCGCCGCGCATGCGTGGTTCCGCCCCCTGCACCGGCTGAGGCATAGCTGGCAAGCGGCAGAGAAGGAGCAGGCCGACCACCAGCTGGCCCAGCCCAAGGGAGGTAAGGCACCTGCCGGAAAAGGGGGGAAAAAATGGCGGACAAAAAAAATGGCGAACAAAAAAAATGGCGGACAGCCTTGCTTGGCAACCCCCATGAAATAGTCGATCGACCCCAAATGGGGTCCCGACCCACAGGTTGAGAACCACTGTTTTAAAGAATGCCTAGCAACTCAAATAAATTGTATTTAAAGAAAAGATGTTGCATTAGTAATGTTACAAGCTCCTGTCTCTGATCATACCTTTTTTCTTGGGGGGGGGTAGGGGGTAGGCCCATTATACTGCCCAATCACAGCTACAACGAAAGCTCAATTTCTGAATTGGTTTTTACCAGGCTGCAATCATTTCTCACCAGGGAAGATTAAAAAAAAATCCCCTTCATTTGTTGCTTAAAAATACCAAAAAGCAGGAATAACCTTCTTCTTGCAAAATTGGCAGATGACTCATGACGTATTTTGGGTTACATTGGGCTTCTAGAAAGGCTAAATACTTGCTCTTCTTTTAATGACAGTTCAGAATCTTTACTCTTAGCGAGTGTGGAATGCACCTCCTGTAAACACCAATAACTACAACTCTTACATATATATTTTGTTTCCAGAACATGCACTGTTTGCTTTTATCTGTAAGTTGAATGCAGCATATGTATCTGTGTGTGGGAAGAGAGAAAGAGAAGGAAAATAATTCAGCTGTGATGGATCACTGATTTAAGTATTCTTTGGAACCCCTGCAGATAACATTTTGCTAAGTAAAAAAGATTTTACCGTTTATAAAACAAGTGAACTGCTGCAGGTAAGTTCCTTTACGTTAGACTATGTCATATCCAGGAAATTTAATGTAGCCAAACAGGTAAAAACCTCTTCTTGAGCTAGCAGAGAAGATTCACAATAATGCCTAGAACAGTGGTGGCGAACCTATGGCACGCATGCCAGAGGCGGCACTCGGAGCCCTCTCTGTGGGCACACGTGCCGTTGCCCCAGCCTCGCCTCCCCCTGCGACCTCCTCCTCACCAGCAGCCCTCCCAGAGGAGAGTCACCCCCGAGTTTGGCCCATGAGGAGCAGCGCAGCCAAGGACATGGCAGCCAGCAGGATAGACAAGACTCTGCCCTCATGCCCCATCGCACACAGTTGATGCTGTGGGGCGCGGGCAGAGGGCATGGCTGCCATGGTGCTGCTGGGCAGCCTGGGCGATTGGCGGGCCCTGGAGGCAGTGAGTGGCGGGGCGGGGGATGTGGGGGTGGAGCAGGGGCGGGGCAGGGGGTGAAGCAGGGGCGGGGCCAGTTTTTGGGCACTCGGTCTCTAAAAGGTTCGCCATCACTGGCCTAGAATATAGGAGGCTGAAAAATTGTGAGAATCTGAATTGTTATATGATAAAACAAAGAAGCGATACAAAGACACGCTGAAAGCATCTCTCAAGAGGGACCTATAGCTGTGGTAGAGAACCCTTAAAAACCGCGTACTAGCTGGCTGTACCGCATGGGACCAAATGGTCCCAACGGTCTGTATACTTGTGTCCTCCTGTTAGAACCGTGTTCTCTTCGCTCGTGAGGCATTTCGGTCTCGACGTTTACGACTTGCAACAGTGTCCACATTTCTCTGTTCAGTATGTGGCAGAATATTCCGTGCTAACATTGGTCTCATCAGCCATCTACGGACACACCGTTGATGGCCCACAATCAACAAGATGTCAAGGTCTTCATTGAAATTGATGGA